TAGCTGGGACTACAGGCATACGCCACCACATCTGGCTAATTTCTTAATTTTTTTGTAGAGACAGGGTCTCACTTTGTTGCCCAGGCTAGTCTCAAATTCCTGGGCTCAAGTTGTCCTCCTGCCTCCCAAATTGTTCGAATTACAGGAGTGAGCCATCACATCTGGTCTCTCTCACTCTCTCCCCCACCCCTCTTTTTCTTGGATACACTGTCACTCAAGCTGGAGTGCAGTTGTGTGATCACAGCTCACGGCAGCCTCAACCCTCCAGGTTCAAGCCATCCTGCCACCTCAGCCTCCAAAGTAGCTGGGACTATAGGCACACACCACCAAGCCTGGCTAATTGTTATATATTTTTTTGGTGCAGACAGGGTTTTTCCATGTTGCCCAGCCTGGCTTGGAACTCTTGGATTCAAGTGATCTGCCTGACTCTGCCTCCCAAAGTGCTGTGACTACACGTGTGAGCCATCATGCCCAGGAGGAGGAGAGAATATTTCTTAATATTTTCTTAAATATTAAGAATTCTCGGGCCGGGCACGGTGGCTCAAGCCTGTAATCCCAGCACTTTGGGAGGCCGAGGCGGGTGGATCTCCAGGTCGAGAGATCGAGACCATCCTGGTCAATATGGTGAAACCCCGTCTCTACTAAAAATACAAAAAAAAAAAAAATAGCTGGGCATGGTGGTGCATGTCTGTAATCCCAGCTACTCAGGAGGCTGAGGCAGGAGAATTGCTTGAACCCAGGAGGCGGAGGTTGTGGTGAGACGAGATCGCGCCACTGCACTCCAGCCTGGGTAACAAGAGCAAAACTCCATCTCAAATAAATAAATAAATAAATAAATAAATAAATAAAAGTATTCTCTTAATATTTCTTTCTTTTTTTTTTTTTTTTTTTTGAGATGGAGTTTTGCTCTTGTTACCCAGGCTGGAGTGCAACGGCGCGATCTCGGCTCACCGCAACCTCCGCCTCCTGGGTTCAGGCAATTCTCCTGCCTCAGCCTCCTGAGTAGCTGGGATTACAGGCACATGCCACCATGCCCAGCTAATTTTTTTGTATTTTTAGTGGAGACGGGGTTTCACCATGTTGACCAGGATGGTCTTGATCTCTTGACCTCGTGATCCACCCACCTCGGCCTCCCAAAGTGCTGGGATTACAGGTGTGAGCCACCGCGCCCGGCCTTCTATTTCTTAACACATCTTATGGGGCCAGCATTCCAGACAATGATACCACAAGAAGAGAAAACTACAGACCCACATCCCTTATGAATATAGATGCAAAAATTCTCAACAAAATGTTATCAAACCAAATCCTGCAGCACATTAAATGGGCTGGATATCACAGCCAACTAAAATGTATTCCCCTAGTGAACCCTGCCTCTCAGTAGTCATGCCTTGTGTAGTCTCCACCCATGCTAAATAATACTGGCTCATGTAACCAATAGGATGTTGCAGAAATGATGGTGTGACTCCCAAGGCTAGGTCATAAAAGGCACTGTACCTCCCTCTGCTCTTTCTCTTGGAATAATGACTCTTGGAAAGCCAGCTCCCATATTGTGAGGAAGCTCAAGCAGCTTCTTCTCCATAGCCTCTCCATAGGGCTCTGTGGAAAAATCTACATGGCATGGACCCGAGGTCTCTCACCACCAACCGCCACCAACTTACCAGTCATATGAGTGAACTACCTTGGAGGTGGGTCCTCCAGCCCCAATCTAGCCTTCAGATGACAACTGCCCCCCACTGATACCTTGACTGCAACTTCATGAGAGATTCTGAGCCAAACTCTCCAACTAAACCACTGTCTGTGAATTCCTAACCCACAGAAATGAAATGATAATAATAATAAATATTTATTGTTTTAAGCCTCTATGTTTTTTGCTGGATACAAAAGAAAAAAAAAGCCTCTATGTTTTGAGGTGATTTGAGAGACAAAATATACCCTAACTCAGAAGAAGGCATTTTTTTTTCTGTAAAGGACAGAATAATAAATATTTTAGGTTTTCAGGCCACATAGGTTCTTTGTTGCACATTCTTCTTTGTTGTTTGTTTATATTTATTTTTTAGAGACAGGTCTCACTCTGTTGCCCAGACTGGAGTGCAGTGGCATGATCATAGCTCACTGCAGCCTAAAGCTGCTCAAGTGATTCTCGCTCCTCAGCCTGTCACATAGTTGGGACTACCGGTGCACACCACCACCGTGCCTGGCTCTTGTCTAGGTGGATCATGGACTCCCGGCCTCAAGTGATCTTCCTACCTCATCCTCCCAAAGTCTTGGGCTTACAGGCAGGAGCCACCGTGCCCAGCCTGTTGTTGTTGATCAATCCTTTAAAAATATATTTTTTAAAAAGTCTGGGCGTGGTGGCTCACACCTGTAATCCCAGCACTTTGGGAGGCCAAGTCATGTGGATCACCTGAGGTCAGGAGTTTGAGACCAGCCTGGCCAACATGGCAAAAGCTTGTCTTTACCAAAAATAGAAAAATTAGCCAGGCATGGTGGCGGGTGCCTGTAATCCCAGCTACTGGAGAGGCTGAGGCCGGAAAATCACTTGAACTCGGGAGGCGGAAGTTGTAGAGAACTGAGATCACCTATTGCACTCCAGCATTCCAGCCTGGGGGACGAGATAAATAAATAAATAAATAAATAAATAAATAAATAAATAAATAAAACTAAACGTTAAAAAAAAAAAAAAAAGGCCTTAACTGAGGGCTGTACAGAAACAGGCCATAAGCCGTTCACCTGCCCTCTTTCCTTCCTTGCTTTCTTCCCTCTCCTCCCCCCCTTCCTGTATCCTTCTCTCTTTTTTTCTCTCTCTCTGCCTCCTTCCCTTCCTTCTCCTTCCTTCCTCCCATCTCTCTCTCCCTCCATCCTTTTATCTTTCTTTCCTTCCCTCCGTGTCTTCTTTTTCACTCTCTTTTACTTCTTCAATCATTCATTGAGCAAAATGAGCAGCCATTATGTGCCAGGCCCTGAGTGTCTGTGATTATTACTGTGGCTAAGATAGGCAGCCTCCCTGCTCTCCTGGGGCTCCCAGCCTAGGAGGGGAAACAGACAGCAAAAACACAGATGAAGAATCTAGTCTTGGTGCAGTGACTCATGCCTGTAATCCCAGCACTTTGGGAGGCCAAGGCGGGCGGATCACCTGAGGTCAGGAGTTCGAGACCAGCCTGGCCAACATGGTAAAACCCCATCTCTACTAAAAATACACAAAAAGTAGCTGGGTGTGGTGGCGGGTGCCTGTAATCCAAGCTACTCAGGAGGCTGAGAGAGAAGAATCACTTAAACCCAGGAGGTGGAGGTTGCAATGAGCCAAGATCACATCACTGCACTCCAACCTGGGCGACAGAGTGAGACTCCATCTCAAAAAAAAAAAAAAAACAACAGAAAAAAATAGCTGGGCATGGTGGCATACCCCTGCAGTCCCAGCTACTTGAGAGGCTGAGGCAGGAGAATTGCTTGAACTGGGGAGGCAGAGTTTGCAGTGAGCCAAGATCTCACCACCGCACTCTAGCCTCACTTCAGCCTGGGTGTCAGAGCAAGACTCTGTCTGAGAAAAAAAAAAAAAAAAAGCAGGGTGAGGGGAGAGTGACAGGAGGGAGTCTATTTTAGGTGTGTTATGAAAGAAGTTATCTCTTTTTTTTCCCTAGAGACAGGATCTTGCTCTGTCACCCAGGCTAGAGTACAGTGGCATGATAGTAACTCACTGGAGCCTTGAACTCCAGGACTCAAACAATCCTCCAGCCTCAGCCTCCCAAGTAGCTGGGACTACAGGCTTATGCCAACATGACAAATAAATATATATATATATATATAATTTTTTTTGTGAAGGTTGGGGTGTCACTAAATATATATATATATATATATATATTTTTTTTTTTTAAAGATTGGGGTGTCACTATGTTGCCCAGGCTGGTCTCAAACTCCTGGGCTCAAGTGATCTTCCTGCCTCAGCCTCCCAAGTAGCTGGGACTACAGGTGTGTACCACCATGCCTGGCTAATTTATTTTTATTTTTAGTAGACACAGGGGTCTTGCTATATTGCCCAGGCTGGTCTTGAACTCCTGTCCTCAAATGATCCTCCCACCTCAGCCTCCCAAAGCGCTGGGATTTCAGGTGTGAGCCACTGCACTCTGCCTGAGAAGGTGTCTTTGAAGAGGTGACATACATTTATTTACTTACCTATTTATTTATTTAAGACTTAGTCTTGCTCTGTTCCCCAGGCTGGTCTTGAACTCCTGTCCCCAAATGATCCTCCTGCCTCAGCCTCCCAAAGTGCTGGGATTTCAGGTGTGAGCCACTGCACTCTGCCCAAGAAGGTGTCTTTGAAGAGATGACATACATTTATTTACTTACCTATTTGTTTATTTAAGACTTAGTCTTGCTCTGTTGCCCAGGCTGGAGTACAGTGGGACGATCTTGGCTCACTGGAACCTCCACCTCCCAGATTCAAGTGATTCTCTTTCCTCAGCCTCCCGAGTAGCTAGGATTACAGCGTGTGCCACCACGCCCAGCTAATGTTTGTATTTTCAGTAGAGACGGTGTTTCACCATGTTGGCCAAGGTGGTCTCTAATTCCTGACTTCAAGTGATCCACCCACCTCAGGCTCCCAAAGTGCTTAGATTACAGGCATGTGCCACCATGCCTGGCCAGAGGTGACATTTAAACAGAACCCACACAAAGGAACGATTCAAGCCAAGCCGACTATGGGGGAGGGGTGCACCTGGGTGAGGAATAGTGGGTGCAGAAGCCCAGCACTGGGAATCATCTCCCTGCTGAGGTGGGTGTTGGAAGGATGCAAGGGAGGCCAGTGTGATTAGAACGGAGCAAGAAAGAGAGGAGATAGGAGACAGGTCCCCGCCACGCTGGGACAGATCGTGGCGGTCCCCTGGTGAAAGCTGAAACAGCGACAGGTGTCCAGGGTTTGCATGTGACATCCTGTGCTCTTTATTTGGGGTTAAACCCGGTGGCCTAGAGCTGCCTGGTGACACCTTCCTGAAAGCAGAAGAGGCTCAGGACTCACAGCCGTGGGTGAGCATGTATTCCGAAAATTCCTCCAGTTGGCCCCGCGACTCTTCCTTGCTGGCATCTCTGTCTCCTGGCCCAGGACGTAGCTGTAGCTGTGAGCCAGAGACAGCAAGCAGCTGAGGAAAGCCTGGTGCCCTGGAGACACGGGGACCTCCCTGCCCTGCCCTGTCTGACAGCCTCCCAGAGCCTTAGCCTGCAGTGTCCACACCCTAGGGCCCTCTCTGGTCTTCCAGCCTCTTACCCCAAATCATGGGGAATTAGAAAATGCTTCCCTGGCTGGGTTCGGTGGCTCACGTCTGTAACCCCAGCATTTTGGGAGGATGAGATGGGCGGATCACTTGAGGCCAGGAGTTTGAGACCAGCCTGGGCAACATGATGAAATCCTATCTCTACTAAAAGCAAAAAAATTAGCCAGGAGTGGTGGCACATGCCTGTAATCCCAGCTACTTGGGAGGCTGAGGCAGGAGAACCACTTGAACCCAGATATGGAGGTTGCAGTGAGATGGAGGTTGCACTTTATGAATGGTACTTCCTGGAGTTGTGCAGTACACAACTTGTACCTCCATTCAGGGCCACCCTGAAATCTGAGATCTCTTATGGTAGGTCCAGCAAAAATTGTGGAACTGAAGGCTGGGTTGAGGGTAGGGAAGAGACCAGGCCTGAGTCTGCAGGACAGGTGGAGCCACTCACCTACCCAGATTTGATTTTTCACAGGTCTAATGTCTGGCCCATGATGAGGTACGATTCCTGTTCTTGCAACCCCAGGGAGTCGTGGCAGGTGGCGTGGGAGACAAATTTCTTCATGCTGAGAGGTGTGGCAGGGTCCATGCCCAGTGTGTGTGCATGCAGAGGTTGGACCCTCCCGCACACTGGGACCCCCAGGGTGGACCTCCAACATGACTCCACACTGGGATTCCGCCTTTGTCACCTGGGACACACCACTCTTAATGATGTCTTCAAGCTGCATGTTGTAATAGACGTAAGGGTTAGAGGCAGAGACCTTCACAGATTCCAGCTTTGTCTTGTACTCTGGGGAAAGGGGAGGGCAAGAGGGTGTCATGTTGGCGTCTGGCCTGCAGGTGGGCTCTGCCTGTCCCCTGCCGCTCCCCACACTCACCAAAATCCACGCCTGTCTCACATGCTGCTACCTGGAGCTCCTCCTGCCTCAGTTGGACACTGGGCTTCCGCAGGGATGGGCACTGTCCTGCAGGGTCAGGCGGGCAGCTGCTCTGGCTGCCCTGGGACAGGGGACTTCCTCCTATTCGTCCCCCCACTCCCCCTCCCTTCAGCCCCCAGGCCTGGAACCCTTGGGTCTCTGGATCTGGCCTTTCTAGTCTGTGGGGCTCTCTCTCTCTATTTTCTTTTTCCTTCCTTCCTTTCTTCCTTCTTTTTTTCTTTTTCTTTTTTTTTAAATTATTGTTTTAAAGAGATGGGGGCCAGGCAAGGTGGCTCACGCCTGTAATCCCAGCACTTTGGGAGGCTGAGGCAGGCGGATCACAAGGTCAAGAGATTGAGACCATCCTGGCCAACATGGTGAAACCCCGTCTCTACTAAAAATACAAAAATTAGCTGGGTGAGGTGGCGTGTGCCTGTAGTTCCAGCTACTCAGGAGGCTGAGGCAGGAGAATCACTTGAACCAGGGAGGCAGAGGTTGCAGTGAGCCGAGATCATACTACTGCACTCCAGCCTGCTGACAGAGCAAGACTCAGTATTAAAAAAAAAAAAAAAAAAAAAAAAAAAAGGAGTCTCACTATGTTAGCCAGGTTGGTCTCAAACTCCTGAGCTGAAGCAATCCTCTCATCTCGGCCTTCCAAGGTGTTGGGATGACAGGTATGTGAGCCATCATACTTGCCAATTTATTCATTTTTCTAGACAGAGTCTCTCTCTGTCACCCAGGCTGGAGTGCAGTGGTGTGATCTCAGTTCACTGCAACCTCCACCTCCCAGACTCAAGCGATTCTCATTCCTCAGTCTCCTGAGTAGCTGGGACTACAGGTGTGTGCCACCACGCCCAGCTAATTTTTGTATTGTTAGTAAAGACAGGGTTCCACCATGTTGGCCAGGATGGTCTTGAACTATCAACCTCATGATTTGACCGCCTCAGCCTTCCAGAATGCTGGGATTACAGGTGTGAGCCACTGCACCTAGCCTGATCATTTGGTTTTGTTTTTTTTTTTTGAGACGGAGTCTCGCTCTGTTGCCAGGCTGGAGTGCAATGGTGTGATCTTGGCTCACTGCAACCTCTGCCTCCCAGGTTCAAGCGATTCTCCTCCCTCAGCCTCTGGAGTAGCAGAAAGCACAGATGCTCACGACCACATCCAGCTAATTTTTGTATTTTTAGTAGAGACGGGGTTTCACTATGTTGGCCAGGATGGTCTCGATCTGTTGACCTCGTGATCCACCTGCCTCAGCCTCCCAAAGTGCTGGGATTACATGCATGACCCACTACACCTGGCCTTTGGTCACTTTCTTGTCTATTTCTCCCTTCTTCGTCTCTTTGTGTCTTTCTGGCTCCCTGTCATTTGATCTTTGGCAGTGCGTGTGTGTGTGACAATCTTTGTCTCTCTGTGCCTTGTTTCTGTCTCTCTTTGGCTTTGTCTCTTTCTGTCTAAATTCAGACTAGACTACAGCCAGGAGGCTTGAAGGGGTCCTGGATTCACTCCCGGCCTGACAGCCCCAGCCCGGTGGCACGAAGCTCACTCTCGGTACATCTCACCCTCTGCACATCTGCAGACGTCTTTGTGGCAGATCTTTTGCAGGGAAGATTGCTCTGTGGGCAGGTTGTAGAAAGTGCTGCATCCCCAGGCTGTGGGTGGAGGGTGCAGGGATTGGGGGAGGGGTCGTTGGGCCAGAGTTCCTGGGGGTTCAGTGTCCACCTCTCCCCTCTGGGCCCTGGCCTTGCCCTCCCCATCCTCCAAAGGGCCGAGTCCAGGCTCCCTCCTGCCCCTCCTTGTCCCAGGGCTGTGCCCTCCAGGTCCTCCCAGACCTTTGCCTCTTCCTGGCCCTGCCTGCTGCAAGCGTCACTTTGAAGGGCCGTGCCCAGCCACCTCCGTCGACAGGCGGCCACGCCCACTCAAAAGAGCCTGCCCCTTCCCCACCCATTCCCTGCAGGCCACGCCCAGTCCCCCTTCAACTTACAAGGCTCATAGTAGTCGTAGACGGTGATCAGCGCGGCCTGCAGGAACTCCACCTGCAGCATCCTGTGAACCCGAAAGCCCAGCACTGTGTTTTTCTCATGGGAAAGCTGGAGAGAACAGAGTCTTGTCTGAGCCGACCAGACACTGACCGTGGGCACTGACCTTGTGGCACTGACCACGAGGCCTTGGCTGTTGGCATTGGCCATGACCACGGACCATAAGGCCTTAATCATAGGAACTGCAACCAGAGGAGCTAACCTCAGAGGGCCTGGCTCTCTGCAAAACCCTCCCAGGGGGCTGACCTTGGGTTCTCCAGCCCCCAGGGTGCCCACACGTCTCTGGTGGAGGGCACCCGGCCTTCCTCACCTTCTCCAGGTAGAGGACAATGGTGCTATCGCTGGTACTTGTCTTGGTTTCATGCTGAAAGGAGTACCTCTCCACATCACTTGTGAGCTGGGGCAGAGGGCAGACACTGGAGGGTGCTGACAGCCTCCAAGGCCCCCAGCCCTAGAGCTCCAGCCTTTCTCCAGTCAACTCCACTCTTGGGGAAACTGAGGCCCCAGCAGGAAAAAGATTTGGTTGAGGCCATGCAGGGAGTCAACCTGAAATGACGCTGGGGCGTTATAACCCCGGAGTCTTGCCTCGAATAGCCACTGCCCCGCACCCACGTGGGACGTATGGAAATGTTACTCAGGAAGCAGGCAGGTGGGGTCTGCATTACCTGTTTGAGATCATCCTGGTTGGGGTAGAAGCCGGTGAGCAGGGAGACCTCCATGATGGTCATCGTGGCCTCTTGATCGTCCTGGAACCTGGGAGTTCACAGCCCCAATCTCTCCCCACTGTCTTCCCCACTGCTATCATCCCTTGCTCAGTCTAGTGCAGTAGCCTCCTCTCAGGTCTCCCCATGTCCCCTTTGCCATGTACAACAGAGCTCTAGCAAGCAGAGATCTGACTATGTCACCTCCTTGCTTCAATGACCAAAGGCCTTCCCTCAGTCCTGACACCCTTCCACGTCACCTTCTCCTACCTCAGCCTTCGTTTGATCACTGTTAGCCTTGTTCCCTCTCCTGCCACCAGACCTTTGCACATGCTGTTCACTCAGCCTGGAACCCTCACTTCTGCCTTTTTTTTTTTTTTTTTTTTTTTTGAGACGGAGTTTTGCTTGTTACCCAGGCTGGAGTGCAATGGCGAGATCTCGGCTCATTGCAACCTCCGCCTCCTGGGTTCAGGCAATTCTCCTGCCTCAGCCTCCCGAGTGGCTGGGATTACAGGCACGCACCACCATGCCCAGCTAATTTTTTGTATTTTTAGTAGAGACGGGGTTTCACCATGTTGACCAGGATGGTCTCGATCTCTTGACCTCATGATCCACCTGCCTCGGCCTCCCAAAGTGCTGGGATTACAGGCCTGAGCCACTGCACTCGGGCCCGCACTTCTGCCTTTTCATCCTGAAACACTCCTCATGTTTTCCATCTTAGCTGATGCATCACTCCCTCTGGGAAGCCTTCCCCAACCTACACCCCAAACACACCAGATCATTCTTTTTTTTTTTTTTTTTTCTTTTTGAGACAGGGTCACCCAGGCTGAAGTGCAGTGGCTCAGTCATGGCTCACTGTAGCCTCAGCTTCCTGGGCTCAAGCGATCCTCTTGTCTCAGCCTTGTGAGGCTCTGGGACTATAGGCATGCACCACCATGCCTAGCTAATTTTTGAACTTTTTCTTTTTTAGAGATGGACTCTTGCTATGTTGCCCAGGCTGGCCTCAAACTCCGGGGCTCAAGTGATCCTCTCGGCTTCCCAAAGTGCTGGGATTATAGCATGAGCCACCACGCCAGGCCCAGATCATTCTCTGATTTGCTTCCCATGACTCTGTAAACCTCTCCTTTGCCACATGAAAATCATAGTTGCCATTTCATATTGCTTCTGTGTGATTATTTGATGATTGTCTGCCTCTCCTGATAGACTGTGGGCTTCGCCAGGGCAAGAAGGAGAGGCTGACTTGATTATAACTGGGTGCCTAGCTCCAAGAACAGGGCCTGGCACACAGTAGGTGCCCAATAATATTTGTATTTGAAGCAGACCTGGGCAAGGGAGGTATGGGACAGGGCAGGACTGGGGTAGGAGCTGGGGTGCCTGAAGAAGATGAGAACCACAGGGAGAGCTTCAGGGCTTGGAACCAGCTCCGGGCATCTGAGTCACAGAGCATGTCATCTGAGGACATGCAGACATGGCAGGAGGCAGGGACAGAACGGGGGACAGGCACAGAGAAGCAAGCTTGGCTGGTTTCCACCATCCACTCAGCACACAGGGAGGGCTGCTGAGGAATCTGGATAGCAGAAAGTGAGACCCTCCTCCCGCCCAGTCCAGGATCCTGGTGCCCTGACCTTGTTTCCATCCGGAGCCGAAAAGTTTCCTCTCCCTTTTTATTTTCTGCAGAGAGAAGGCAGCATTTTAGAGGCTGGGGAGCACAGTGATCAAGTGCAATCTCTGGAGCCAGCTTCTTGGGTTCAAATCTTGACTGCTGTGTGACTTAAGCAAGTTGCTGAACTTCTCCGTGCTTCAGTTTACTCATCTGTAAGGGGGGATCATAACATTCCCAACCCAGGGTTGTTATGAGGATTAAATGAGTTAATATAAGTAAAGCCCTCTGCATGGTGCCTGATTGGTGCTTTGTAACTATTGTTATTAAGAAATCTGGCAAAAACCAAAGACTGGGTCGTGTTTAGTCCCTACACTTCATGGGACTGGTGAGGCTTGTTCTCCTCACTTGCACAGTGAGCTCCCAATAGTCCTCTCTCCTTCTTGGTGCCCCAGACTGGGAACTGGGAAATCCAACTATTTCTGGTTTTTGTTTTCTTTTTCTTTTTTTTTTTTTTTGAGACGGAGTTTCGCTCCTGTTACCCAGGCTGGAGTGCAATGGCGCGATCTCGGCTCACCGCAACCTCCGCCTCCTGGGTTCAGGCAATTCTTCTGCCTCAACCTCCTGAGTAGCTGGGATTACAGGCACGCGCCACCATGCCCAGCTAATTTTTTGTATTTTTAGTAGAGACGGGGTTTCACCATGTTGACCAGGATGGTTTCGATCTCTTGACCTCGTGATCCACCCGCCTCGGCCTCCCAAAGTGCTGGGATTACAGGTGTGAGCCACCGCGCCTGGCTGTTTTTTCTTTTGAGAGAGGGTCTCACTCTGTTGCCCAGGCTGGAGTGCAATGGTGCAATCATGACTCACTGCAGCTCAACCTCCTGGGCTCAAGCGATCCTCCCACCTCAACTTCTTGAGTAGCTGGGACCACACCCACGTACCACCATGTCCAGCTAATTTTTTTGTAGAGATGGGGTCTCCCTATGTTACCCAGGCTGGTCTTGAACTCCTAAGCTCAAGCGATACTCCTGCCTCCGCCTCCCAAAGTGTTGGAGTAACAGGCATGAGCTACTACCCAGCCCACTGTTTCTGATAATCTCCAGAGCCCCTAATCTGGCCAAGCCTCCACCGTCTCCCACAGGACCAGTGCAGTCACCTCCTTCCTGGTCATCTGGCTCCCACCCTCACCCTCTATATCTATTTCCCCCAGAGTGGTCAGATCAGAGGGAGCCTGTGCAAATCTGTGGTAGGTCACGTTCCTTCTCTGTTGGGAACCTTCTATGGCTCCCAGCTTACTCAGAACAAAAGCCAAAGTCCTCGCTGTGGCTAACAAGTCCCTACACCATCTTCCCCCATCAGCTTTCCAACTTCTTCTAAAACTCTACCCTTGCTCCTCCTGTAGCTACACAGGCCTCCTCATTATTTCTCAAACACGACGAGCTCACTTCTGCCCCAGGGCCTTTGCACCTGCTGTTCTGTCTGCCTGGAATGCTCTTCCCTCAGATCCTTCATGGCTGACTCTCTCCCTTCTTTCTTATCTCAGCTCATATGCCATATCCTCAGAGGGCTTTTCCTGGATCATCCCAAAGCCTGCATCACCTTTTCCTACTTTATTTATTCTCTTTTTTTTTCCATGTTTTTTTTTCATTTATTTATAATAAATAAATAAAGTAGTTGCTTATAGTCATTACTATCTCCAGTAACGACTATAAGCAACTACTTTATTTAGTTATTTATTATTTATTTATTTATTTGTGATGGAGTCCTGCTCTGTTGCCCAGGCTGGAGTGAAATGGCACCATCTTGGATCACTGTAACATCCACCTCCCAGGTTCAAGTGATTCCTCTGCCCCAGCCTCCCAGGTAGCTGGGATTACAGGATCCAGGCACCATGCCCAGCTAATTTATATATTTTTAGTAGAGATGGCATTTCACTATGTTGATCAGGCTGATCTTGAACTCCTGACCTCAGGTGATCTACCTCCTGATCAGCCTCCCAAAGTGCTGGGCTTACAGCTGTGAGCCACTGTGCCCGGCCTTTCTACTTTATTTTTTACAGACTTGTTATCACCTGCTATTATGCTATATACTAATTTTTTTTAAGTGGGGTCTTACTCTGACACCCAGGCTGGAGTTCAGTGGCACAGTCTTGGCTCACTGCAACCCCTGCCTCCTGGGTTCAAGTGATCTTCCTGCTTCAACTTTCTGAGTAGCTGGGACTACAGGCACACACAATATCTGCCTAATTTTTTATATGTTTAGTAGAGGTGGGGTTTCACCATGTTGGCCAGGATGGTCTCAATCTCCTGACCTCATGGTCCGCCTGCCTTGGTCTCCCAAAGTGCTGGGATGACAGGCGTGAGCCACTGTGCCTGGCCTGATTGTTTTTAATATATACATATTTATTTGTATTTCTTACAGACATGGTCTCACTCTGTGGTTCAGACTGAAGTGAAATGGTGCAATCATAGCTCACTGCAGCCTCAACCTCTTGGCCTGCAGTCCTCCTGCCTCAGCCTTCTGAGTAGATAAGATTACAGGTCCCCACCACCATGCATGGGTAACAATTTTTTTTATAGAGATGGGATCTTGCTATGTTGCCCAGGCTGGTTTTGAACTCCTGGCCTTAAGTGACCCTCCTGCCCTAGCCTCGAAAAGTGCTGGGACTACAGGTGTGAGCCATGGTGCCCAGCCTAGATGTATTTATTTAGGTTGTAAATAAATAATTGTATGAGTATAATATGTTACAATTTATGTATTGTTTGTCTCTCCCACTAGAATGTGGCTTCTTGGAAAAAAAGGAATATTTTTCTTGTTCATGCCTATGTTGCCGGGGCTCATAAATGACCCAACACACAGTGAGTGCTCACTAAAATGTTGTTTCTATTCAAAATTGATTAGAGACAGGGTATTACTCTATCACCTGAGCTGGAGTGCAGTGTGGTGGTCATAGCTCACTGCAGCCTCTAACTCCTGGGCTCAAGCGGTTCTCCTGCCTCGCCCCTCAGTAGCTGGGACTGCAGGTGCACACCACCACACCCAGCTAACTTAATTTTTTTTGTAGAGATGGGGTCTTGCTAGGTTGCTCAGGCTGGTCTCAAACTCCTGTCCTCAAGTGACACTCCTGCCTTGGCCTCCCAAAGTGTTGGGACTACAGGGTGCACTACCACATGGCTAATTTTTTTTTTTTTTTAAGACGGAGTTTCGCTCTTGTTACCCAGGCTGGAGTGCAATGGCGCGATCTCGGCTCACCACAACCTCTGCCTCCTGGGTTCAGGCAATTCTCCTGCCTCAGCCTCCTGAGTAGCTGGGATTACAGGCACGCGCCACCATGACCAGCTAATTTTTTGTATTTTTAGTAGAGATGGGGTTTCACTATGTTGACCAGAATGGTCTCGATCTCTTGACCTCGTGATCCACCTGC